TGGGAATGACTTGAGAGTCAAGCCTCACTTCAACTCCCGCTTCCGTCGGCTCAACTCCAAATTAAGAGAGAGTTTACTTTTGCTTGGAATTTGGGGGTGGGTTATTTGGGGGCAAAAAGGGTTATTTGGGGGTGGGTTAAAGAAAAAAGGGAAGGGGAGGAGGCTGGTAAAAAAAGAGGAAAGGGTTGATTAAATTAATTGCGAAGAAGCATTTTGTGGTTTTAATAGGCATAAATTAAGATCCAATTAGTGAAAAAAGGGCAATATTAGCTCCGACTGAGCCTAACGGATGGCAAAAAGACAACCATTTCACAAACCACAAGGGCAATTTCAGACCTTTTTCCCCATAACAAAATGATGCAATATTCACATAAAGGCATGAAATACACATTTCCAGGAGTGATCCTAGTGAGGCCAAAAATGTGCCAAAGTAGAATTTATTGCTATAAGATGTTAGCATGTTTCTATCTAGAGTACAATATATCTATATAGAGTACAACATATCATCCTAGTTTATAGATGGAATAGACTTCTAAACCACATGAACTCAGTTTTCCTTGCGACTCATGAATGACGGTCAGCCAAGAGGCACTCAGTTTTCCCCGCGACTCATGTTCCAAAACTCAACTTCATACTCCAGCACACGTATAACAATTGCCTCAGCTTTTGAGATGATATCTTCTGGTGACTTCTCAAGACGACGATTAGCTATATCTTGAAGAGAACGACAATACTGACCAAAATCATCATTGCCCCATCTTTGACAAGTCTTTTTTAGTTCTTCTGAAGTTTTAGAGCCATCTGCTAAACAATGGGCATAACTTTCTTGATACACAACTTCAATTGCCCAAAAGGCTGTAACGGCAACAGTATATTCCACTTCAGGGCTCATTAGGCTCTCCAAAAATCTGGCATAAAATGAGACACAGGGAATCAAAAGAAAATCCACATGAAGGACTTGATTAAACATTGTATATAAGGGGAATAACACGACAAAACATGTCTCTGATATTGGTTCAGCTTACTGTGAGCACATGATTTTTGCCCTATATGAGAATTACTCCCAAAAATTCAAAATAAAAAACAATTTTCCTTTGTGTGCAATGTTTGAATTTTCGTGGCACTTTTGGATAATCATTTATATTTTGTCTGTGCATGTTTATTTGTTAAATTAATAAAAATATAAAAAATATGTCACATTTGCATTTAATATGTAATTCTACAATTAGGAGTAATTAAGTTTGTTTTACAAAATGAAAAAATTACAAAAATAGGCATCTTTTGCATTTTTAGCATTTAATGTCCAAATTGTGTGATTTGATTTTATTGATGTTTAATTTTGGGTGATAATTATTATTAGAAGTTAATTAGTATTTCCAGATAATTTTGGGTTTTATAATTTAATCTTAGCATTTTAGCTTTATTTAGGAAATTGAATAAAAAAAAATAAAAAAATAGAAGAAGACCGGATTGGGCCTTTTCTTCAATTTTAAATCACAGGCCCAAAGATACCCAACCTTCCCCTACGACCCGGTCCATTTCGGTTTAAAGTTGATAAAAGCACATAAATTATAATATGTATTAAAATCAGATATCTGGCCATTACAACAGTTTAAGCGACCGTGCTAGAACCACGGGATTCGGGGGTGCCTAACACCTTCCCTCGGGTCAACATAATTTCTCACTTAGAATTTCTGGTTCGCAGACTTCATTTGGAAAGTCGAATATTTTCCTCGATTCGGGATTCAATCGGTGACTTGGGATTCCATAAATCTCCCAAGTGGCGACTCTGAAATAAATAAATAAATCCCGATTCGATTGTCCTTTAATTGGAAAAAACTCCCTTCCGTGCCCCTTCGCGGGCGGCGCGGGCGAAAAAGGAGGTGTGACACTTACTAGGAAAGAGAAGGTCAGGGGGTTGCTTAGGCACAAGTAAAACATGATCTGTATTACATCTTATTTTTCGTTACAAAATAAAACACCGCAAATTGATTCTAATGCAATGCTTGAACCCTTTAAAATTTGCTTATTGCTCCCATATTAACAGCAAAAGCAACTACACTCGATATCAATTAACTTTAACAGAGAAGCAAAACTAGGAGCTTGAATACAAGTTCAGGGGATCCTAAAAAGTCCATCAATTTGACCAGTTAGCCAAACTACATAAAATTCTTTAGGGGGTGAAAAAAGCTAAGCAAAATCTTCCGCATTAAATAAGAAAGGAGGAAATAGTAGTAGAATATATACCAATCAGGACTAGAATGCATCTTCAGATATTGTCAAATCAGAAATGTTAAATTCTAAACAGCTTTCTAAGAAAAAGGATGACTATAATAGATTGACATAAAACAACCTTCATGTTGAACACAAAAACATGACAAATGCATAGAGATTATAGTAGCGGGACAACTAAGAACCACCAAAACGAGATTGGCTTAATTACAGAAAATGTGTAATATCTTGTATTTATAATAGTGCACTTTATACCTGCAATATTCCAGGTTGGCCTTTTGAGGAACAATACTGGACAGCAAAACATTCCATTTAGATGCTTCTCTCTTGAACCATGATATCTCATCATTCAGTGCCGCGACACCGCCTAAGATAACCTCTATGTCTGAATCATCATCCGACTCCTTCCAAGATTTCAGCAGTAAACTTGCTACGAAAGGGACAAAGGCTCTAACAAATATATAATCTTGCCCCTGCATCCAATTTCTAGTCTTTAACTGATAGAAAACTGCATGAGCTTGCAACGAAGAAAGCGAACACAACATGACAGATATTTCAGTTTCAGAAATAAAAACAAGAGAAGCGAAGTGTCACACTCACAGAATATAGTTAAAGCTCAAACAGAGAAACAAACATAGCCCCGCAAGTCTGGTTGCGAGTTCGCTGAATATGTGGCAGCAACTATGGCTGACTAAATGTATGTGGTTGAGAGTTAGTTAGGAGATATGCGTTAGACCGTGCAAATTAACAAAACAGTAAAGTGCCATCAAACTCGCATTGAATCCAACTTTTTAGGCCGCGAATAAATGATGCTGAAGTTAGCAATCATTACATTCAGTTGAGCTGAACAAAAGTTCATTCAGATAATCAAATAAAGATAATTAAAAGGCTCTAGTATAGCCTAAACTTCTAACTTTTTAGAACAGCACTTTGAGTCATTGACAGTAAGCATACACCTATTCATTTACAGTTTTTTACTAGTTGTTCACCTAGTTAGATCTTTGATCCTAATTTGTTTATTACTAGTAGTAGATAAGTTACTTCCCTTAATTACAAGATTTTCTCTAAGTAGTTGGATAGACTTTAGTATATATTGTTCTTACTCTATGCTATATATATATATATATATACACACACACACACACACACACACCCCACAACAACAACAAAAAATCCAATATAATATTCCGGAATGGGGAGGGTAGTGCGTACAGAGACCTTACCTTAACTTGAGGGTAGAGAGGATGTTTCCAATAGACCCCAGACTCAAGGAATGATAAAAAGAAAACAATAGCAACCAACAGTAACAACAAGATAATAAGAAAACAAGCGGAATGATCAACATAGTAATAAAGATCTACCAATAATAAAATATGAAGCTAACTACTAATACAATTGGTATGGGGTAGACACACACTCACTACCTACAAACCTTTTACCCTAATTCTCGACCTCTATATCTTCCTATCAAGGATCATATACTCAGTGAGCTGAAGCAAAGTCAAATCTTGCCTGATCACCTCTCCCAGTAATTCTTTGACCTACCTCTACCTCTCTTCAGTCCCACTGAGGCCAACCTCTTTTATATAGATATATATACACACACACCAGATGTGTTTTTTAATCCCAGCAAATATAAAGATAGTTTTTTTCTCCATAAATTCCTAAACAGAACAATAGGTACTTCTAAACTTTCTTTTGGGTGCACGTGGCTTCCATGAAACTTGCCCGTTTAGCATAAAGTTTTTTAAACCAAGCAACAGAAAAACAGTATTTTTTTTAAATGCTTATAAATTTGGACCCAAAAAAAAAAAAAATACCAGCCATCTTTTGAAGGCGGAAAGGTCAACAGACCCATCACGGATGCTCAGAGTAAATGGGTGTCTTGTGGCAGCGGTATATAGCTCACGGTGTTGATTCAGCCATTTTTCGATCATCGGAATTTCTTGTTTAGCTCCTTCCATTTCCTAAATTTTCTTCTTTCTTTGCCACACTGACATTTTAGCTTTTCCTTTTGGAAGGGTGGACAAATCGAGGTAGCGCGAATTTGGAAATGGGTCGGGTTTGAATGGGTCGAAAAAGATTTTAGAGATCCAATTTTTCTTGACAAAAGTTGAGCGTCTCTCTTTAATATAGCATGTTTGGCAAAAATTTTAAAATCAACTTATTTTAAGAAAGTATTTTTTCTCAAAAGTATTTCTAATGAGAAATAATTTGTGTTTGATTAAGTAATTTAAATAATACTTGTGAGCAGCAACTAGGATTTGACCAAAATTTTAAAAGTACTACTACTAAATATATTTTTCTTAAAAGTATTTTTCAAAAAAGTACATTTTTGGGGAAGACACTTTTTTCACTGTCTCAACTCAAAAGCACTTTTTTCCTCTTTTAAAAATTTGGCCAAACAGTTCAACTTAAAAATAAATTTTTTTTTTTTTTTTTTGCCTTGGAGAAGCTTGATAGTAAATGTTATATATACCTTTTGAATGTTATGATTAAAACTAGAGTCAATACCTTATAATCTACTTAAACTATACAACCTTTGTCAGTTGCCTACCTAACTATTACCTGTTCCCAAAAACCGCCTGAACTATATCCCCGTTCATAATACAAACCCCTTGTCGCATTTTACTAGTGTGTATTATTATTTTTAAAATATGCCATGTGACAATCTACATGGATATTTGTTTAGCTTAATCTAAAAAATAGACTTAACTAAGATTTTAATACTCTTCATTATATCATTGTGAATAATTTCACGGTAAAAATACAAAGGGGGCTAGAGTTAAAACTAGTGGGTCAATTATAAAAAACTTATTTATCTTTACTTTCATCGGAGAATAGCTACACCTTCTCTCAGTAGCGATTTTTTCCATTAATCTTGGTTCTAACCTCAATTGCTTTTGTCTATTCATGCTTCTGTTCAAAAATCGAGATAACAACTAGGATTCTGCTCCTGAATCAGTACAGAAGATTAGGGTTTTGAAGAGAGAGAGAATTTCAGATAGATTCAGATGAAGAAATGAAGAAGAAATGTGAAAAAATGAAGAAAGGTGAAAAGATGAGGAAGGAAGGTGAAATGTATATAAAAATGGAGAAAATAACAAGAAATATAAATTTTAAAAATGAATTAAACACTATCAGATGGCCATTTTAATGATTTTTTTTTGTCTTCACGCGCTCTTTGGCGATTTATTACACACATTTTGCCACATAAGCGACGAGAGAGTTTTGTTATGAAGTATGATATAGCTCAGGGGGTTCTCAAGGACAAGACATAATTTAAGTAGACAACTGATAAATATTATATAGTTTAGGCGAGTTTTAGAATATTAACTCTTAAAACGTACTAATTAATTTGTGAACAGTTGCTTCCAAGTTTCAAGTCAATTTAAAGACTCTAGTGTTATGTTTCCATTGTTGGTTCGAACCTTATAATAATTATCTTGTCTAACTGTGAATAAATACTGTGATAAGAGGACTTAAATCACTAGAACATACAATTTTGATAGGGTAAAGAACAGTCTCAATTAATCCTAACATAGGTTCCAGGGATCAACTAAGTTTCTTCTATAGTAATTGAGAGCAAGAATTTTAATAATACTGTTTCAATATTCTTTGTAAATAAATACACGAATTAGCTTGAGTCGTGTTGGGCACTGTCCTAAGAAACTATTTTAGCAGTGTGAAATATTTCTCCAGGATTAAACAAGCTTACCTCTATTTTATTTAGAGGATACAGGAACCGAAAAAATATTTATATTACAATAATCCAACAAGATTAAAAAAGAAAATAGGACAAAGAAAATTAATAAGAAAAATTAGAAATAAGAGAAGCTAAGAGAGAAAGAGAAGAAGGCTAAGTAGAAAAGCATTTATGATGGGATGATTATTGTGCAACCAAGTGATGGCTATTTATACTTGTAATTGCATGTAAATTTATTGTGCATGGCAAGAAAGTGGCTAATCAAGTTTTCTACTTGGCATAGCCTTCTAGAAGGCTAAGACAATTATCCTTAAAATATTGCCACAGTCCCCCACTATTTTAAAGACCCAAAAATAAACTTGTTGGATTTGTATGGTCCAAATGTAATAGGTTTGGTGTCTTCTCGACTATGAACCAAACTTAGACCAATAAAATTTAACTCACAGAACTACTGGTGAAATGTAATATTTTTATGAACCAATAATTCTTGTTATAAGTCAGAGATTTTATCAATCACATTTTGACCCCCGGTAATTTTGTTGTGCGGTTTTATATCCAATGGGCCATGTGCGTGCCTGGTTATTCGTGAGAGTTCTAGAGCACTCCACTCTCATATAGGTGAATTCATCAAGTGTATACTACTTTTAAATACACCATTCATAAGGACTATGAATTTCATTAAAAGTTATAACTCAGCCTCTCAATTAATAGCAGTCAAGCACTCTCTTTTAGTACTTCATTGCCAATATCGACTTGTTATTACCCATATGAACCTACTTCATGGGATCTCCAATCACATAGGTTGGGTTACCATTTCTATTGACAACATGGCGGCCTAAATTCCGCTCTTTTGAGGTTTGAAGAATTAATTTTCTTCCCACGGGTTTAGTTAGAGAATCGGCCAAATTAACTTCTGACTTCACATAACCAATGGAAATTATTCCATCTCTCAGCAGCTGCTTTATGACATCATGTCTCAATTTCATGTGTCTACTTTTACAATTATACGATTTATTCTTTGCTATAGCTATTGCCGACTGGAAATCACAATGTATAGACATAGGAGGCATACGTCCTTTATTAAAGGGATATTAGCTAAGAAGTTTCTTAGCCACTCAGCCTCAAAACCAGCTAATTCCAGAGCTACAAACTCTGATTCCATAGTTGATCTAGCAATGATCATCTGTTTAGCTGATTTCCAAGATATTGCACCACCACCAAGGGCGAATACATAATCACTAGTGGATTTTGTCTCATCTGAATCAGAGATTCAGTTTGCATCACTGTACCCTTCTAAAGAACGAAATCCACTATATAAAATACCATAATTCATGGTTCCTCTCAAATATTTCATTAGTCTATCTAATGCAGACCAATGCTCTCTGTTGGGATTATGAGTATATCTGCTCAGCTACACTCTGCATAGGCTATATCAGACCTTGTAAACTTCATTAAATGCATCAGACTCTCAATAATTTGAGCATATTTAGACTGAGCAACTGGGTCACCATTATTCTTTTTCAACTTAGAGTTAGCATCAAAAGGAGTGCTCACAGATGTGACATTAAAATATTCAAACTTCTTAAGAAGTCTCTCAACATAATGTTCTTGTGACAACATTGTGCCATCTTTACTCCTTATAACTTTAACTCTCAATATCATATTTACTTCACCCAGATCTTTCATATCAAAATTAGCAGACAAAAATAATTTAGTACTTTGCACAATATTTAAACTTGTACCAAATATAAGGATGTCATCAACATACATACATATTATCACATAATCATAATTTGTACCACTTTAATATAAACACATTTATCCACCTCAACTGAAGAAAAACTGTTTCTCAGTAAGACTTGTTCAAATTTCTCATACCACTGCTTAGGAGCTTTTTTAAGGCCAAAAAGAGATTTAATTAATTTACAAACTTTATTTTCTTGTCCAGGAATGACACAACCTTCAGGTTGAACCATATAAATCTCTTCTTCTAAGTCACCATTTAGAAAAAACAATTTTCACATCCATTTGGTGGATAAAAAGCTTACGGATTGAAGTTAAGGCGGTTAAAACTCGAATAGAAAAAATTCTAGTCACTGGTGCAAATGTATCAAAATAATCTATATTTTGTTTTTGAGAAAATCCTTTTGTTACTAACCGAGTTTTATATTTATCTAAGGATCCATCAGGATTAAATTTTCTTTTGAAAATTCATTTACAACCAATAGGTTTTGCACCAGGAGGTAAATCATTTAAAATCCATGTATTATTTTTCTTAATAGAATCAATTTCAATTTTTGTTGCCTCTTTCCAATATTTAGCATCTGAAGAATATATAGCTTCAAAATAATTTGATGGTTCATTATCGATAAGAAAAGTCTGAAAATCATTTCCATAAGAAAAATATTCTTTCCTAGGCCTTTTACTCCTTCTCAGTTCCTCATTAGAGGTAATTTCTCTATTTGTTTCAACATGTGTATGAGAAATTTTATCAAACGATGGATAAATATATTCAAAGAACTCAACATTCTTTGTTTCAATTATAGTATTGCAATCAAGCACATCACTTTTCAAAATAAGGAATCTATATGCAACACTATGTTCAATGTATCCAATAAGCATGCAATCATCAGTTTTAGAACCTATTTTTCTCTTTTTGGGTTTAGGCAAAAGAACTTTAGCAAGGCACCCCCACACTTTTAAATATTTTAAATTAGGTTTATTACCCTTCCACAATTCATAAGGAGTGTGAGCACGTAATTTTTGCCTCATACGAATTACTCCAAAATAATTCCCAAAATTAGGTCTTTTCTTTAATTATGTGTTATTTTTAGGAAATATTGTGCGATTTTCCTGTTTGTTTGCATGGATCTGTGTGCATGTTTAATTTTATTAATGCATTAAAAATACAAAAATATAGCATTTGCATTTAGGATTGAGTTTTTATATTTTTGGAATTAATTAATAATTAGGTGTTTTACAAAAATGAAAATTCACAAAAAATAACATATTATTTGCATTTTTGTCAAATTGTGTGATTTTCTTTTAATTTAGTGTTTAATTATTTGTGATAGGTATTATTTAAAGTTAATTACTATTTTCAAGCTAATTTAGGTCTTTTATAATTTAATTAGGATTTTTATTTCAAATTTTGAAAAAAAAGGAAGAAAAGAAAGGGAAAAGAATTCTTGGACCAATCCAATCTAATCCTCAAGCCCAAATCAAACACACCTAATACCCAACCCAAATCGGCCCAAACCCATGCCATACCCGGTCCATTCAGTTCAGACCTCAGAGGCGACTCAAACGACGTCGTTTCAGCGTCAACCAATCTCAATCGTCCATTCCCCATATCCAACGGCCAGGACTTAACCCATTACCCGTTTA